GCGGCTGCGGCTTCGGCTTCGGCTTTAATTTTCTTGGCTGCGCAACTTCTGCCGTCATCATTAGCGTTCCTCCTGACTTTCAGGGATCTTGGAACAAACATCCTTCAATACTCTGCGGAGGAAATTATATATGAGCTTTATTTTATCCTCCATAGAGTTCACGAATGAAGTACCCTGGGGGTGCCGTGGAGTTGGGTGACCTGGGCTTTGCCTCAAAGGCACAGAGAAAGCTGCGCTCACTCACCCACCACTGCCCTCGGGAACGGAGGCCCCTTCCTCATAGGCACGACTATGGGACACTGCACCCGCCTGCACACGGCTCACCTCTGCTTGTTGAGACTGACTGCGCTCTGGAATACCAGACATCACCCAAACTCTGCGTAAACCCTTCTCGTACATGTTCACAAATCAATCAATCAATCACAATCAATCAAACAGTAACACCTACAGGTGGTGACTGCGCTGCTGGCACCGGCTGAACACCTCGCAGGGGAACTTGCATGCACCAGCCTGCACAGCCTGTCAGCCTCCCCCCTCAGACACACACACAGATGCACAGATACAGACGCACACAGACACCCAGACAGACATGCGCGCGCGGTCCGCTTATGTTACTGGGCGTCACACGGCGGACTCAGTTCTCGGGAGGACTCTGCACCTGGAGGCCAAGTGACTGGACGGAACTGGCGCCCCAGCTCCAGGGAGGCCTCGCAACCACAGCTCTTCCCATTCACACCGAAAACAGGCTTTCGTAAACGATGGTAATTGGGAAACAGGTGTTTAACCTAATTTGAGGCCTGCCAAATACACTAATAAGCATTTTTCTCAAAAAAATTTCTTAGGATAGATCGTCAGAGTCCGTTTTTCAGAAAAAAAATCCCCCCCAAAAATGTGAGGGTGTAGAGTCACCACCTTAGGTCTCCGGAAACGTCAGGGGCGGGGTGGGGGAGGGGCGGCAGCACGCGAGCCGCACAGCTCGGGACACGGGTCCTTACGGCGGAACCGGGGCGGCACGGGGCGGGGCGGGACGGGCTCGGCTCAGGTTCCCGCCGGCGCCCCCTCCTGCCCTCCCCCACGACGTCACCGCTGGGCGTTGCCCTGCTTACCCCGACGTCAACCCCGCGCGTCGCCGCGCTCCTCCCGACGCCACCCCTGGGCGTCACCGCCCGGCTCCGCACGCAGCGGCACGTGACGTCACGGCGCTGCCAGGCGGTGGGTAGGGCGGGCTGGCCCGGAGGCCGGAGGGGGCGCCCGCGAGGGGCGGGTCTGCCCAGGGCCCGTACCGCCACCGCGGCCGGGCGGCCGGGTCCCTCGCGAGAGGAGCAGGACGCAAGGCAGGCCCGAGCCGCGGGGCCGGGTGCACGCTCACCCGCGCAGATGGCGGCCGCTTCCGCTCCGGCTCAGGGCCGGCCCACCCTTCAGGCACTTCCGGCCGGTACGCCCGGGCCGCGCGGCCGCCCTGCAGCTTGGGGGCGGTGCGGAGCGCAGAATCCACTTCTCCGGGTTTTGGGAGGGGCCGCAGCGCGCGGAGAGGCGGGCCACCGCGGGGGCGGAGCTCGTCTTGGGGAGGGGGAGGGGCGGGGCTCCCCT